AACGAAGATTGCGATTTTACAATATATTAACGTGAAAGGCATGGAACTTCTAGAAGAAACACAGCGTTCTGCAAAAACGCAAACTTTTTGATGAATAGTCTGTCTGTTCAGGCGTGGCCTAGTCTATTTGGAAAGTAGGTGCCATTTCATATGAAGACTATGCTCCCTTCAAGAAGAAAATACTCCTAAAAACTGTGTCTATTTTCGAAAATCCATGCTTTAAAAATTCCATGAACCAACAAAAGATACACTTTCCCCACCTATGTTATTCCCGAAGAAGCTACGGACTTCATATAAAGTTCTGTTCTGCTATAAAAAGACCTCATTTACAACTGCTGTGCTACTTTTTGGAACATTTTTTATTATTAGTTTAGGCCCCTTACGAAAGGTATGTATATCTACAAGCACTATATCGCAAACGCCAAAGCTCTAATACCCGTGCTTCACAGTAGTGTGATATTTTAAAAAATTCGCTTTACAACTTCCGGACAATTAGCTAACTGAAACTCTAGCTAGAGTATTGCGGCATACCCTAAACCGAAATGCAATATAATTATAATTCAATTAACAAATTTATTATTTTGAAGTTGATGAAATACTGTGAAAAAGAAACACTGTGTCGACTCTTCTTCGGTACTTCGACTGAGGTTGCAAAATCGATTTGAATGAAAATGTATCTTGTCAGAACAAGCCAGTATTTTAGCATTTTAATATTAAGCGATTTGTGTACAAGGAACACAAAATCAAATATTAGGCCGCGAGCCGAGGCCATTTATCTTTCAGTTTCGTAGCGCACATAAGGTAACTACCTGAAAATGATTTTAAAATGTTCCTTAGAAATTTAGTAACAAATATTGTCTTGTTCCCACTTCCAAAAGTTGCACGTTTTACAGAAAAAACTCTTTTACTACAATAAATATGTGTTACCATCTGTCCTATTTTCTCTGCTTTTCCGTTATCATGGGCCAATGAACGCAGACTTCTGCATGGCGTAACAATCAAATTAGTCAGCTGTAGGTGGATCCCCGTGTTCGGGTGAATATCAGATGTACTACTGCTCGCTTTTGCGAAAAGTATAAGTAAGATATTAAACACTTGTATATTCTTACCATAAATAGCAATTTTAGTTGAGCACTAGCTCATAAGACGTTGTTAAATAGGTACGGTGCGGTAACTCCAAGGCAGGCTAGACCTAGAAGAATATGTCACAAACAAGTTGAACAACGATATTTTCTGGCTAGCATGAAATGTTTATGATTAATTTAATGACTCTTCTTGACTATTCAGCGGCCTTGTACTACTATATAGGCCACAGCATATTTGGAAATATAAATTAATGGCTGTTTCTGTAATGCACGGTTGTGTGAAAGAGAAGAAAATAATCAATTTTACTAATGTCGGTTGGTCTAAATCTAAATTCATAGAGTCGACAAGAACCTGGGAAGCAATGATAAGTTATGCCGGAGTGGAAAGAAAAATAGCATTGGAAACGATTGAGAGGTGAGAAATCAAGTTGTAGACAGACAGTTGATGTTTTAAAATATAGTCTATAGTCCATACTCATACTGTCATAGGGCATTTCAGACTGTGATATATCAAAATTTAGTGTAGATATAGTCTAGTAATGGTATGGAAACACTGCTGGACTGTAGTACATGCAATGAGCATATATACGCTCATTGAGTACATCAGATAAAATGCATTATGTATTCAAGGTATTAGTTAGTATTTAGTGGTATTTTTACACTCATGCTGTTCCAAATATGATTTTCTTCCTCATTTTAGATACTGTACTACAAAATAAAACGGCAATGTTCCACCAATCCGACCTAACGCAGGCTCTAAGAACTCTTGACGCGTAAAGGTATATGAGAATCATGATAGTTGCAAACAGCTTAGAGGGGTTTCCATATTAAAATACTTTAGCACTTTTCTGCAATTGGAACTGCCCATCAAACTCATGTTGGAGACTTCATTGAGGTTTTCAATTCATTTTTTGTCTCAACTATGAAGATCTTTTGAGGTTAACGAGGCATTAATAAATAAAGCTGAGGAATTTGTTTGTTCACTGTATGAAGAGGATATGAAGAATGTAAATGATACCAGGGCACGTCTATTTAACACTGGCAAACATAAGGATTATACTCTCCCACCCAACAATGATTCACTGAAGAAGCATGTGGCCCTCAAATCAGTTCTTGAGTTGGCAAACTGCAAGTGTAAGAAAAATAGTCAAAATAATTTATGCAAGTGTGGAAAAATCAACTTAAATTGCACAGATTTTTGTTTTTGTATTGACTGCAAAAATCACAGTACATTTATAGAGGAAAAGTCGATTTTCGAGATAGTGGATTTCGAAAACAATTCAGAAGAAAGCGAATTAGATATTGCAGTTGATTTAATAAGTATCATTTATTTGTTTGTTTTTTCGGACATTTGTTAGTGTCGTAGTCCTGTTTCTAGAAATAATATTGCCTTTGTTCAAATACATAACCACATAAACCAAAAAAAGACTAAATGTAATATTTCTGTTCACTATGTTATGTACATACTGTACATTCATTTAATTTTCTTGACATTTCCAGTAAATTTCTAAGTGAGAAATAACTGATTTATTTGTGTTTTCGTGCTCACGATGTTAATTTGTGACTTCATTGCTTAAAAATAAATACGTTTGATAGCTTCTATAATATGGATGTAGATTTTTAGGCTGTTTTTGTTGTAAACTGCTTGTGGGTATTACATAAAATTTATGCGACCTTTCGAGGTCACTCGCGACTCCTGTCACACAATTAAAGTATTTTTGTTGTTGGTTACATGTATGCCATATTTTTCGTAATCTACCTAGTAAATTATGATTGACTGAGGAAGTCTGATTTTGGTCAGGCAAAACGTTACAGGAATACATTTGTGTTAGTGTGCTGTAGGGCTCTCGAATTGCATAGTTCTTATGTATGTGTTGTAAACTTATGGTTATTGAATTTCCGGGAACCTCTTATATTCAATTTCGCATCAGGATTGTGGAACAAGCTGTAATGCGTTCAGTATGTTCATTTTCACACAAAACTGAAGAATTTATTTAGTTACCAGATCTGCGCTACGAAACTCATTTTCTGGGCGTTTTCAAGGCTTCGTCTCACGGCCCATATCCGTGGTAAGGATCTACAAGTGTATAACTTACTTATACTTTTTAACAACGTCTTAGCATAACTTAACTAATAATAACTAAACAGGGCTATGGAAAGGCTGCCCAACTTAACGCAAGATCGAGCAGTAATAACTAAGATTCATCCACTCGCTAACAGGTGATTCGATTCAATTGTTACGTCATGCAGAAGTCATTGTTCATTGCTGGAAATGTAGAGAATATAGGACAGATCGTAGCACATATTTCTTGTAGTAAAAGCGTCTTTTCCGTAAAACGTGCAACTTTTGGAAGTGAGAACAAGGCAATATTTGTTACTAAATTTTTAAGGAACATTTTAAAATCATTTTTAGGTAGTTACCTGATGTGCTCTACGAAACTCACTTTCTAGGCGTTTTTCAGGGCCTCGGCTTGCGGCCTATATCTTATTATCAAAATTTTGAAGCATTCTGTGAAGAAACAGAGGCTGGAAAACATAAGCTAAGAGGCTGACAAAGAGATGTTTGCGAACTCAGTGCTCTCGATCCTTACGATAACGGTACCGATTCGGTGTTCATATATCAGAGCAACGGTGGGCAAACCGCGGCTTGTGGGCCGCATGCGTCTCGAAAGATTTAATGCGGTTTTCTCGCTAGCATTAATTATTATCTAAATTTAACTAAGAGAAACTGTATCAGTTTTTTTAAATTTATTAATCGGTAGAAGAAGTTTTCATCAATGATTAGGACAAATTATGTTTTAGTACGAAAATTGTTGTAGAGTAGAATTTTAAATTTGAATCATTCAAGCGAGAAATCTTACGTCACAATGGTCAAATGTTTGCGCCTATGTTGGGTGTATGTCATGATGGATGAGATTCACATATTTATCTAGTGGGAGAAGACAGCCGATCGGTAAGTATGTTGATAGGTATTTGCCTGTCTGTCTATCTGTCTGTTTGTTTGTTTGTCTTTTAGATGCACGCGATATCTCACGAAAGCGATTGAATCTGCTCCAGATTTTGCATGTGCATTCATCATATCTCGGACCAGAAGCCTATTGATTTTGGGCGAATTATGTCGTATAATTAGCGAGTAATTGATTAATTAGTGATGGGACACAAGGTGTCACTATGGAGTAAGATTGCTGTTTTGGGTTCCCTAACTTTCGATCGATAAGTCTTCGGTCTCTGACCGATATTCTCGGTCAGCCAGTTATTTGTTCTCAGATGCATGGACTTTGTTCTCAGATGCATGGACTTTGTTCTCAGATGTATGGACTTGGTGGTGGAGGAAGCCATAACCACTCTACGGCGGCGAGGAGTCCAGCAATCTTATCGCACATAATTAACCCCGCATGACACAAATTTATGACATCATTTGGCAAGGAACCCGCTGCAACAACTGAAGCTATAGTTTTGTTATATAATGGAATATTGCTCCTGCTAAACATTCATACTCTGACTGTGATTTTGTGAAAAGAAATATGGCTGATGTTGTCGCAGTCTTGAATCCCAACAACACGAACCGACTGATAACCCAAACGCCGGTTGCGCATTGCACTACACAAAGGAAAAGATCCCAAATTAGTACCAATGTAATAGTTACAATGCAGAATGATTTAATGAGTTCTAATATCAACAATTTCAAAAATTATGCGGCCCGCACATATTTCTGACTCGCTGCATTCGGCTCTTATACTAGAAATTTTTGCCTACCCCTGTATTAGAGTATTGATGTCTTGGTTGGGCACGATATGCACATGAGGGTCATTTTGCTAAAAACACGATGGAATGAAAAGAATAAAATCACTTATCTATAAATCGAATTCGATTGGGAATTTTTTGAATATCGAATATTTAAAACAACCCTCAGTTATATAAATATATTTTAAAACGTGTGGACATGAAATGCAAGAAAGAATATATGTCAAATATAAAAAATATTCCATTGAACGAACACTAGCAAGAGATGTTGTAATCATCATCAACTGTTATTAGGAAACGTTGCTCCATCGCCCCTGCAATGATCTGAAACAAAAAATACTTTATAAAATAATATTTTTGTTCTAAACCTTACACATTTCGAAGAAAGATTGCTATCAGTATTTGAAATCTCTTTTTTATCGAGACTTGTATTACTGATTATAAATAAAACTGTAGTTCTAGAGATCATGGACATTTTGTGTACTAGATTTTTGATATTTTGTCATAAAGGCCTAAGTAATGAAAAACGCAGTGAATAAGTTTTACCTTGATCCATCTTTGCAGGTTGTAATTCAATTTCAAGTATATCGGAGCTCACTTTCAAATATATATAGTAATGATTTTAAAAACGGGATTGATCTCATTTATACTTAACTCAAGTCGAAGTGAATCTGGTACGATATACTGAGCCAGACATATTCCAGTCTATTTTTACCACCAAGTTCCTGTACGCCCTATGCCTATCTAATGATACATAGGAAGATATCTCGAGAAAAGAAACAAATTAATATGAGTTTATACGCAAGTGTTCTACATCGCCTATAATTCAATAATTTGTCTGTATCGTTAGAAAAATAAGTATATACAGTCAATGTTCCCTCTAATTTTTTGTAGTATGTGTGCACAGAAATTTTGGTGTGTGCGCACTTTTTTGGAAATGACTAATATTTGTGCAAAAACAAATGAAGAAATTTTGGCGTTATAACCGGGTGAGTGAGCCAACAACAAACTTTCTCAACCTGCCAACCGAGCACATTGTTACATTACATCGAAATACGTCTGTGCGCAGTAAATCTATGCGTGTGCGCAGCCTTTGAAAGCTGTGTGCGCGCGCACACGCGCACACCTTAGAGGGAACACTGTATACAGTATATAAATCTGATTGTTGCACTGTCCCTTGTACCAAATACCGTTATTTGTTATATCTGAAAGTTTGATTGTTCTTCGCTATCCGATTTCCTACCTATTCTTCTTATCGGCTCTTTTCTCTCTTTGACACTGAATTGAATGCTTTGTTTTTCAATGTTAATTATTATTTAATTACCTTTAGAGTCTCCAGTTTAATTTGGGCAACTGCCCCAAACATTGCCGCCAATGTAATTTCCTGAGCAACATCTCTCTATAAAATTAAAAATAAAATCATTTCACAGGATCTGAATAAAATAATGCTGACTAATATTTGATATATTTTTCCCTTTTAATATTAAAATTGAATCATTTCGATAATTTAGATTATAAAATTTGTACAAACCAATTCTTGTTCGATCTTTAGATCTTTCCAAAGATTTGGTTTTTCAAATCTCTCCTCTTCTTCCTGATACAACAAAAAATTCAAACATCAAACAAAATTATATGAATAATAGGGGCTCCCGAAGTATGCGAACCAAGATGACGGACATCGGAATGTAATATGTGTACTAGGTTAGGGTTAGGCCATAACTTTAGGTATAAATTCTACGGGAGGCTCTTGGCTAGTCTTCGAACTGATAATAGGACTAAAATAAGAAAAATTGGAAATAAATTATGGCCAACCCTAACCTGTTACCCATGTTACGTTCCGATGTCCGCCATCTTGGTTCGCATACTTCGGGAGCACCGAATAATATTTATAATGCACGATAATGATTACATAGATTAAATTTTGAATGATTTTTGTTACATTCACCGCTTAGATGACATACATATAAATTACCTGTTTACTTGAAGAAAAGTACAATATCTGATCTATAAATGATAAGTTCAAAGAAGCGTGCATGGTTACAGCTCTCTCTGATAATCATGAATCAAATTGAAAATATTCCAGAATATTACCTGTTTCTGCATCTCAAACTGCTGCTTTGCATGTCTGTTTGATACGCAATCAAAATCGTCGATACTCTAAAAGATAGATTTGTGTATAAGATAATTAATGAAATAAATTGATTTCTTCAAAGATTATTTATTTTCACAGATAGTCAATGCATAAATACACATACCGAAGATAGCGAAGATATTTCACTCATGGTGCTATCCTGAGAACACAAAAATGAAAATTGGAGTGAATTTATAACAGATGAAATTTCCAAAATCCGTATTCGCTAAATAATGTAAAGATGCGCACAACGTGTCGAATTTTTGCACGAATGCACCTGCGGTTTTATAAAATAACTGCTTTTAATTAGCGCTTGAACACGATTAAAATAAATATGGTATATTGAATAAGTTTATTTCTAATTATTTATACATTTTTAATTTGTTCTGGTTTATTAAATAATAGGTCAATATGAATTGTGTGGTCTGAGATCTCAGGATAATCCAGAATATTGTGCCATAGGTTAAATACCCACCTGAATGTTTTATATAACTTGTTTGGAAATTCAATACCAACAATATGCACTTACCATAGACAAAGACGATACATAAGTCAAAGAATAATCCTGTTAAAATGAAAAACAATATAAAGTTTAGTATTAAAATTATCGATGTATTTAATTTAATTTGAAATTTCTGCTCTTTTTATCTACCTATTTTCTACGCAGTTTTATAACCTTTTTGTTTTGCAATGTCTCGGGCCATTTGGGCACAAGGGGAAAAGTAGATTTTACAACAAGGAAAACAAAACTGTACATCATAGAGCAGATATGCTATTAAACGATACATGGACTACCTTCAATCAAAAAAAAGCACATGATAAAATTACATATCATGAATACGTCCAATAGTTGGCATATAAACTTAATCTCTGCGTAACAAACAGCTAACTTCAATTAAAATGTTATATGAAAATATTATACCAAATCTTAAATATTATATTTCGTCAAACTATTCAGACTCTTTTTCATACCGTTGATATCGAAGAAATTTCCCATTGCATATCTTCATCCTGTTGCAAAATATGAATTAAAAATTAATGCACTACAAATCATAATTGCAAATGAAAAATGATTGTCTGTCGGTAAATGTATTTATATTCGTATTTTATAAAGTAAATTATATTTTGGATTTATGGTATATTCTTCTTAATTATTAAAAAGAAACTTTTTCATAATATCTGCGATTTAGTCATCAAAGAGATAGAGAGAAATATAATTTGTGGTTTCATTTACTAGATAAAACTAAAAAATCACAAATTTTAACTGTTAATTTTTTTTTTATATCTTTGGCTTCAAACAATAACTCTTTTAAAATATAATATAGAATGTTATGAAGAAAACTATTTTATGGACTATTTTCCTTCATCACCTATTAAAATGAAAGGAATCTCAACTGTAATAGACATAAATAAAGAAAAAATATGGTCATTGGATACAAATAATATCAACACCACTAATTGCTTCATAAACAAAGCAATAATAAACAACAATATAAAGTTATTGACATATGGCAGAGTAGTAAAATTGTTGTAATGATAATACTAAGAGCCATCATTTTTTTAATCGCATTGGTATTTAAGATCTGATTATTGCAACCGGCACCGACCCAAAGCAAACAATGTCTCAATTTCCAGATCCTGGTAAAACAAGATTACCTTCTCGTAAAACGAATCCAGCGCTATATTTTCTGATCGATGAGATTGTGACCTTATTTCTCCAAGATCATCAAAATTCTGGGAATTAATTTGTATAAATATATGTTGTTAAAGATAACGTTAATTCACCCATGATAATAAAACGTTACTATTAAATGTCAATAAGATTTACATGAATATTACATTTTTTGGTGCTACTGAAGTATGCGCACCAAGATGTCGCACAACCTGAACCCGGTACTGGTACACAACCTTAATTCAGGTTGTGCGCCATCTTGGTGCGCATACTTCAGGAGGTTCCATTTTTTGTTTAAACCATGGTTAACAAAGGAATAAAGTAAAAATGTTGAAGCTTAAATGTATATCCGGTTGAATAATAATTGAATATTCTAGTTCGATAAATAATTTTGCGCTATTTTCTTGCAATGGTCAACGACATCTGCTGCATATTTATTCAGAATAAATTTTATTGTAACAGAAAATAATCGTTGATGTATAAATGTGATTTTAATGATTTTACTCACGTCGTCCATTTTATTCCTGTTTGACTTCATGCCATTCTGAGTCTTTGAAAAGCATTTGGTAAATATCTGACAAATTAATAAGTACATTTATTACAAGCAAATGAAATATGAATTCCTTTTTTTTTCTGTGGTTTACCTTCATCTTTGAATTCAATCCCGTTAATTTTGTCTTGTTGTTTGTAACTTTTTTAATCTTACATTTTCCGGACTGACGTGTCCGTTTTTCGAAATTCTAAAAGAATGTAGCAATTGAGAGAAATGCGAAAGAAGAGCTTCTAACACAGGTAATTAGCGATTATGATAATTTTCATGATGACTATAGTTTTCAGCACTTTCCATTGATGGAAAATTTACTGATGAATGACTTGGTGTCTTTGGTGTTGTTTTTAAACATTGAACATTTGAATCGACAAGTCATTTGTGGCAAACAGTGCTGCTGCGCAAGGGTTCAAGACTTTTTATGAAATAACGTCATTTATCCAATTATTACCTGCGCTCTGTACGAAGTGTCACAATTTTCTTGTGAGGAATCATTGGTATCGGAACAATGAAGACAGTCCTAAAATACAACATAGAAAAATAAAGAAGATGAAGATATCATTTGGTTTACACATAAAATTTTTTTATCTAAAGTGCCAGAATATTTCTAAATATGTCATTTTCAAATTTAACTTCCTAAATGTTTTGCAGAAATGAAAGAGTTGGTTAATCAATTTCGTTTTCACTCACCATAACATTATTGATTTTTCTCATTTTTCTTCCAAACCAACTCGCAAATGCAACAATACAATGAATTGCATTTTTGAAAGAAGACGATGTTTCCTCATTTTCTCCTCGTTTCTTGGAAAAAGGTCAATTACTTGAAACATTATTTGATAAGTATAGTCTACAAAATTTTTGATTTTGTTGAAAAAATCTGCACAAAGATTTCGTCGATATGTTTCGGGAGGGGGGGTACATCGGACACTCAAATTTTGTTTACATTGCAACAGAATTTGTACATATAATAGATATCTCACAACTCGGAATGTTCAATATATCAGGATTAATTGTTCGAAAAGTGATGCAATATATATTCGGGATTTCATTATTTCTTTTAGTATCAATGGCGAAGTCAAGTCAAACACTGAGAATACTTCTGATTCCGAATTTTTATAGTGATCGACCCAAGGCAAAGTCGCTTTGCACGAACCATATACGCTGAACAAGAAGAATGACACGAGTAACCACTTGTTCAAATAAGAATCGAAGCAGCGAGATGCAGACGCTCCTAAGATGAAGTAAATAATTCAACAAAGCTTATTGCACAAAGTTTCGGAGGCTAAATTTGTCAACAAAAAGAACAATCGCGTGCCCATGAAGTTATAACGGCCTTCACAGATAATTGATACACTTTTTCATTGTATAACCAACTTTTGAAACAGACAAATTGCACTATTCATTTGATAAAGAGTAGTTCTTCACATACTTGATTCCAACGTTTACGATTCTTACGACTCCGCCGTTTCCGTCCACATGAATGCGATGGCCTCCATCTTCATCTGGCTGATCAATTACAATTTCATGGTGATGAATATTCATGGTAACAGTATCGTTAACATTTCAATTCAACTGTTCGTTGTAAATGAATTTCTTGGATTTTAATGCAATTTTGCAAATATTGTTTGAATTGTGACGTCACAATCAATGACAAATTAAAAATTCAATCAATAGGTTTCGAGAGTTTCACTGAGAAACTGTGTGAATTTGTTTAATATATGGTTAGTGTTCGTAATGGTGAACGACAAATTTGAGAGAAAGTCGCCAAGATGACAAACAGAAATTGTTGATATCTTGCTACATATTTTGGTGGTAACGAAAACAGGTATATAGACAGATTATTAAAGTCGCCCAATTCCCGACAGTCAATGTTCCTTATTCCGTTTGTGATGGGAAGTGATGTTTCCACATAGGTCTACTTTTTTGTATTCCACGCTATGTTGTCTTTGCTGAAATTATAGAGACCCGAGTCGTACCTAAGGCTTGGAGTGTTGGTAATTTCAGGGTTATATCTATAATGTTTCATGTCACACTAGATCAGTGGTTCACGAACTATTTTTACTTGCTACGCACTGAGAAAATAATAAAAAACAAACAAATTTATATTCAAATGTTAATGCGATGGATGTGAACTTTCATCATTATGTTAAAAATGATTGCCGAGAGAGATAATTCTTGACAGACTCCTCTGCCCGATGGAATAGGGCAGTGGTGTCAAACTCGCGGCCCGCGAGGACTTTCAATGCGGCCCTCGAACGCTTAATAATAATTGTAATATTTTTTAAGTTTTTTTTATCTAAATATAAAATATTTTTCAAACCATTTAAAGTGAAATTGATTATTCCCACAGAAAACGACAATTTACAGAAAGCAGTTTTGGAAAATTAATTTTTTTTGTTCCCAATTTGACACAATTATGAATAAACTTATATATGGTTATTGTTCGTAATGGTGAACGAACGACAAATTTGAGGGAAAGTCGCCAAGATGACAAACAGAAACTTGTTGATATCTTGCTACATATTTTGGTGGTAACAAAAACTGGTAGATAGACAGATCATGAAAGTCGCCCAATTCCCGACAGTCAATGTTCCTTATTCCGTTTGTGATGGGAAGTGATGTTTCCACATAGGTCTACTTTTTTGTATTCCACGCTATGTTGTCGTCGCTGAAATTATAGAGGCCCGAGTCGTACCTAAGGCTTGGAGTGTTGGTAATTTCAGGGTTATATCTATATGATGTTTTGTGGCAAAATAATGTTTCATGTCACACTATATCAGTGGTTCTCGAACTATTTTTACTTGCTACGCACTGTGAAAATATTAAAAAAGATTGCGACACACTAATAACAAATAAAGTTAGCTTTGAACAAATTTATATTCAAATGTTGATGCGATGGATGTGAACTTCCATCATTATGTTAAAAATGATTGCCGAGAGAGGGCATTCTTGACGGACTCCTCTACCAGATGGAATAGGGGAGGTGTCACCATCGATAGTTCGAATGGTGAACACGTTATCCCTGTAAACGTCAGCAACCGTTTCCAACATGCACAATGGTCAAACGTTTGCACCTGTGTTGGCGGTATGCCGTGATGGATAGGATTCACATATTTATCCCGTGGAAGAGGACAGCCGATATGACAGCTTAATGTTATGGCGAACCATGGCGTCTCGCCGGGTTACCAGTCAATATCGGATATTTGATTAGTTAGCCAGTTATTTGTTCCAGACGCATGGACTTGATGGTGGAGGAAGCCATAACCACTCTACGGCGGCGAGGAGTCCAGCAATCCTATCGCACATAATTAGCCCCGCATAACACAAATTTATGACATCATTTGGCAAGGAATCCGATGCAACAACTGAAGCTATAGTTTTGTTATATAATGGAATATTGCTCCTGCTATACATTCATACTCTGACTGTGATTTTGTGAAAAAGAAATATGGCTGATGTTGTCGCAGTCTTGAATCCCAACAACACGAACCGACTGATAACCCAAACGTCGGTTGCGCGTTGCACTACACAAAGGAAAATATCCCAAATTAGTACCAATGTAATAGATACAATGCAGAATGATTTAATTAGTTCTAATATCAACAATTTCAAAAATTATGCGGCTTGCACATATTTCTGATTCGCTGCATTCGGCTGTTATACTAGAAATTTTTGCCTACCCCTGTATTAGAGTATTGATGTTTTGGTTGGGAACGATATGCACATGAGGGTTATTTTGCTAAAAACACGATGGAATGAAAAGTATGAAATTACTTATCTATAAATCGAATTCGATTGAAAACTTTCTGAATACCGAATATTTGAAACAACCTTCAGTTATTTATATAAATATATTTTAAAACGTGTGAACATGAAATGCATGAAAGAATATATGTCAAATATATATAAAAAAAATATTCCAGTGAACGAACACTAGCAAGAGATGTTGTAGTCATCATCAGGAAACGATGCTCCATCGCCCCTGCAATGATCTGAAACAAAAAATACTTTATAAAATAATATTTCTGTTCTAAACCTTACACATTTCGAAGAAAGATTGATATCAGTATTTGAAATCTCTTTTTTATGGAAAGTTGTATTACCGATTATAAATAAAACTGTAGTTCTAGAGAATTTTGAACATTTTGTGTACTGGATTTTTGATACTAGATTTTTGATGTTTTGTCATAAAGGCTTAAGTAATGAAAAACGCAGTGAATAAGTTTTACCTTGTTCCATCTTTGCAGGTTGTAATTCAATTTCAAGTTTTTCGGAGCTCACCTTCAAATATAGTAATGATTTCAAAAACGGAATTGATCTCATTTATACTTAACTGAAGTCGAAGTGAATCTGGTACGATATACTGAGCCAGACATATTCCAGTCTATTTTTATCTCCAAGTTCCTGCAGGCCCTACGCCTATCTAATGATACATAGGGAGATATCTCGAGAAAAGAAACAAAATAATATGCGTTTGTACGCAAGTGTCCTAGTTCGCCCATAATTCGTTTATTGTCTGTATCGATAGAAAAAAAGTATATACAGTATATAAATCTGATTGTTGCACTGTCCCATGTACCGAATACCGTTATTTGTTATATCTGAAAGTTTGTTCTTTGCTATCGGATTTGCTACCTATTCGTCTTATCGGCCCTTTTCTCTCTTTGATACTGGACTAAATGCTTTGTTTTTCAATGTCAAATAATATTTAATTACCTTTTGAGTCTCCAGTTTTATTTGGGCAACTGCCCCAAACATTGCCGCCAATGTAATTTCCTGAGCAACATCTCTCTATAATGTAAAAATAAAAACATTTCTAGAAAACTAAATTCACAGAATCTGAATAAATTAATGTTGATTAATATTTGATATATTTGTCGCTATTAATATTAAAAATAAAATCATTCGTAAATTTAGATTATGAAATTTGTACAAACCAGTTCTTGATCAATTTTTAGATCTTTCCAAAGATTTTGTTTTTCAAATCTCTTTTCATTTTCCTGATACAACAATAAAAAATCAAATATCACAAATGTATTATGTCGCAAATATTTGTAATGCACCAAAATGATTCGGATGATTATTGTTACATTTACCACTTGGATGACATGTATAAATTTCGTGTTAAATTTAGAAAAATGAAAAAATAAGTAACTATAAATGTTAATTTTGAAGAAACATGCATGGTTGTTTATCACAGCTCTTTTTGATAATCTTGAACCAATCTGAAAAAAAAAATTTCAAAATCATACCTGCTTCTGCATCTCAAACTTCTGCTTTGCATCTGTATTTGATACGCAATCAACATTACCAATACTCTGAAAGATAGTTTTGTGTATGAGATAATTAATGAAAGAAATTGATTTCTTAGAAGAATATTTATTTTTGCAAATAATCTATGCATAAATAAACTTTAAAATATACATACCGAAGATAGCGAAGATATTTCACTCATGGTGCTATCCTGAGAAATACAGAAATGAAAATTGGAGTGAATTTATAACAGATAAAATCCTTATTCGCTAAATAATGCAAAGTGAGCGCACGGCGTGTTAAATTTTTGCCTGCGGTTCTATAAAATACCCGCTCCCATTTACAGTGCCTTGCGCTTAGACACAAATAATATAATTGTGTGATATTGATTAATTTTATGCTGATTTTTTATGATGATTTTAATTTGATAGTCGATCTGTCAGTTTGAACAGAGTGGGGTGCGTTTTTATATATTTTAAATTTGTCTTGGTTTTATTGAATAATATGTAAATAGGAATTGTGTAGTGTTTATAATCCAGAATATTGTAAATAAATGTAAATACCCACTTGAATGTTTTATATAACTTGTTTTAAATTAGAGTAATTTAAAACAGAAAATATTTACTTACCACAGATAAGGAAGATACATAAGTCAAGGAATAATCCTGTTAAATTGAAAAATATTATAAAAATTAGTAATAAAATTATCGATGTTCAATGCTATATTTATGCTCTTTTTATCTCAATTAAAAACATTTTCTATGCAGTTTATAACCTTTTTCTTTTATAATGTCTCGGGCCATTTGAGCGCAAGAAAAAAACCATTTTTTTTCCTAATTTTCGCTTTTACAAAAAGGAAAACAATAATATACATTATAGTTAGAGCAAAGATGTTAGTAAACAAAACATAGACTACCGTCGTTCAAAAAAGCACAAAATAAAAATTACATATCATAAAGAAGTTCAATAATTAGCATATAAAATTATGCACTGCATTACAAACTGTTAACTTTTTGAGCGTATTAAAATGTAACAAACGCAACGGATGTGAGACAATATTATAAATAATCTGAATGATATATTTCTTCAAAATATCCTGACTCTTCCTCATACCGTTGATATCGAAGAAACTTCCCATTGCATATCTTCATCCTGTTGCGGAATATGAATTATAAATTAATGCACTACAAAGTAACAAACCATAATTTGCAAATGAAAAATGATTGTCTGTCGGTAAACGTATCTATATTAGTATGTTTTAAAGTATATTATATTTTGGATTTATGGTATATTCCGATAAAAAAAACTTTTCCATAATTTCTGCGATTTAGTCATCAAAGAGATAGAGAGAAATATAGTTTGTGTCTTTTCACATTCAAAGCGAACAATGCCTCAATTACCATATCCTGGTAAAACAAGATTACCTTCTCATTAAGCGATTCCTTTTCTATAGTTTCTGATCGATCAGATTGTGACCTTATTTCTCCAAGATCGTTAAAATTCTGGAAATGAAGTTGTATGAATATCTGTTAAAGATAACGTTAATTCACCCAAAAGCATAAAACTTTACCATTAAATGTCAGTAAGATTTACATAAAAATTTTTTACATGAATTTTTTTGTCTATACCATGATTAACAAAGAAATACGGTAAAAAATGTTTGAAGATTAAATGTATATCAAGTTGAATAATAATTGAATGTTCTAGTTCGCTAAATAATTTTGAGCTATTTTCCTGCAGAAATGGTCAACGACATCTGCTGCATATTTACTCAGAATAAATTTTATTGTAACAGAAAAATAATCGTTGATGTATAAATGTGATTTCAATGATTTTACTCACGTCGTCCATTTTATTCTTGTTTGACTCATTGCCATTCTGAGTATTTGAAAAGCATTTTGTGAAGATCTGACGAATTGATAGGTATATTTATTACAAGCAAATGAAACTTCATATAAATTCTTATCTTTTCTTTGGTTTACCTTCATCTTTGAATTCAATCCTGATAATTTTGTCTTCTTGCTTTTAACTTTCATATTCTTACATTTTCCCGACTGCCTTGTCCGTTTTTCGAAATTCTAAAAGAATGCAGTAATTTATAAGAGAAATGTGAAAGAAGAGTTTCTATCTCAATTTATAAGCGATAATGGTAATTTTCGTGCTGATTATGGTTTTCAGGACTTTCAACTGGTGGCAAATTCACTGATGAGTGACTTTCACCCGTTGGTGTCTTTGATGTTGTTTTTAAACATTAAACAGTTAAATCGACAAGTCATTTGTGGCAAACAGCGCTGCTGCGCAAGGGTTCAAGACTTTTTATGAAATAACGTCATTTATCCAATTATTACCTGCGCTCTGTACGAAGTGTCACAATTTTCTTGTGAGGTATAATCATTGGTATCGGAACAATGAAGACAGTCCTAAAATACAACATAGAAAAATAAAGAAGACGAAGATATCATTTGGTTTACAAATAAAAAATTTATCTAAAGTGCCAGAATATTTCTAAATATGTCATTTTCAAATTTAACTTCCTTAATAATTTTCAGAAATGAAAGAGTTGGTTAATCAATTTTGTTTTCACTCACCATAGCATTATTGACTTTTCTCATTTTTCTTCCAAACCAACTCGCAAATGCAACAATACAATGAATTGCATTTATGAAAGAAGACGATGTTTCCTCATTTTCTCCTCGTTTCTGGAAAAAATGGCAATTACTTGAAACATTATTTGATAAGTATAGTCTACAAAATTTTTGATTTTGTTGAAAAAATCTGCACAAAGATTTTGTCGATATGTTTCGGGAGGGGGGGTACATCGGACACTCAAATTTTGTCTACATTGCAACAGAATTTGTACATATGATAGATATCTCACAACTCGGAATGTTCAATATATCAGGATTAATTGTTCGAAAAGTGATGCAATATATCTTCGGGATTTCATTATTTCTTTTAGTATCAATGGCGAAGTCAAGTCAAACACTGAGAATACTTCTGATTCCGAATTTGTATAGTGATCGACCCAAGGCAAAGTCGCTTTGCACGATATACGCTGAACAAGAAGAATGACACGAGTAACCACTTGTTCAAATAAAAATCGAAGCAGCGAGATGCAGACGCTCCTAAGATGAAGTAAATAATTCAGCAAAGCTTATTGCACAAAGTTTCGGAGGCTAAATTTGTCAACAAAAAGAACAATCGCGTGTCCATGAAGTTATAACGGCCTTCACAGATAATTGATACACTTTTTCATTGTATAACCAACTTTTGAAACAGACAAATTGCTCTATTCATTTGATAAAAAGTAGTTCTTCACATACTTGATTCCAACGTTTACGATTCTTACGACTCCGCCGTTTCCGTCCACATGAAATGCGATGGCCTCCATCTTCATCTGGCGGATCAATTACAACTTCCTGGTGATGAATATTCATGGTAACAGTATCGTTAACCTTTCAATCCAACTGCTCGCTGTAAATGAATTTCTTGGATTTTAATGCAATTTACAAATATTGTTTGAATTGTGACGTCACAATCAATGACAAATGAAAATTCATTCAATAGGTTTCGGGAGTCACATTGAGAAACTTGTGTAATACTTTGTGTAATATAATATGGTTATTGTTCGTAATGGTGAACGACAAATTTGAGAGAAAATCGCCAAGATGACAAACAGAAACTTGTTGATATATTGCTACATATTGTAATGTTACCAAAAATAGGTATATAGACAGATTTTTAAAGTAGCCTAATTCCCGACAGTCAATGTTCCATTTCCTTTTTGTGATGGAAAGTGATGTTTTTACATAAGGCTACTTATTTTGTATTCCACGCTATGTTGTTGTCGCTGAAAATATAGAGGCCCGAGTCATACCTAGGGCTTGGAGAGTTGGTAATTTCAGGGTTATATCCATATCATGTTTTGTGGCAAAATAATGTTTCATGTCACACTAGATCAGTGGTTCTCGAACTATTTTTACTTGCTACGCACTTGAAAATAATAAAAAAGATTGCGGCACACTAATAAAAAATAAAGTTAGCTTTGAACGAATATATATTCAAAAGTTAATGCGATTGATGTGCTTATTTTGAGAAACAAATAGGATTGAAACGTGGTTTCGTCGTTGCCAAGCACACCCGCATTTTGTAGTCAATTCCATGAGGTCGCTGCCTTTTCCGCATATAATTTCAGTCAAAGCAGCAAATCCGTGTTGACAGAACCAAGAAGATGCAATGGCAAGCTTATTTTGATGGCTTTTGCACGGGTGATTGAATAGGATTTGTAAACAGATAACCGATTCTCGTCAAAACTTCCTTTCCTGATAGCCTAACTAAGTCAACCTGGTGGGAGGTGGACGTCATGTTTACAAATGCATTATAACATAAGACTAAATATTTACAACCAAACAAATTTCGAGCCACAGGATCAGTCGATTATTTCAGTGAGCAAAGGGCTACTTCGGGAAACTGCTAGTGGGAATCAACCGGGTGATTATGACCAATCAAATTATAAAACAATCACTCAAGCTCATAAACACACTTCATACACAAACTAAGAAAGGAGAAGAAATTAAATAAAAAGTAGAATGCAGTGTCGGAAAAGTGCGACCCCTCTGGTCACACCCAAAGCACGAAGAGCAGTCTGGTTTCCAAAAGCATAATTGCCGAGAAAACCATCCACAAATGTGCTGAAATCCACCACTTTGCCAGAGGCAAGAGGAGCGACATACCTCCTCATACTCTGAGTGCTTCCGATGGGCCGCGTCATCCATAGCGGCTTCGCCGTTGTCGAATGGGCACACCACATATTATACTACGGGAGTACTACGACTTGATTTCCTCCAGAATCAAATTTGGCGGCAGCATCACAGCTGTTCTAGCGGTGTGCTCTCTACAAACTACGTCAACATCGCACCTAGAAAACCTGGTTGGTGGTAGGTGAGTCAAGATTTCTTCCTGCACCGAATCGTGCCGCTACTTGATGATATTATTGACTGGGCGACAGTGATTCAGAACATGAGGAAGAGTCTCGTTCGCGTAACCACACCTGCTACAAGTCACCCGTGGTTCCACATAAGCCGTAAACCGTGTACGAACGGATCGCAGCGGCAGAAGATTTAATCGAACTTTCAAAACCCACGAAATCTGAAACTAGGCAAGAGAGACAGACGTGGAGAGAAAGTAGTTGAGCAATCAAACCGGGAATGACAGGAACTGTCTTCCCCTGGTACCGAAGCTCGCCCATCGCCTCAACCAACGGGTGTTGGACACTAGGGGCAACACCCGTTGACGGTCACATCAGGCGCACATCGTAACTGGTAACCGACGTCCGGCAAACCTTTGACGCCCCGGAGAAAAACGTCCATCACCATGTTAAAATTGATTGCCGAGAGAGGGCATCCTTGACAGACTCCCCTATCTGATGGAATAGAGGAGGTGTCACCATCTATAGTTCGAATGGTAAACACGTTATCCATGTAAACGTCAGCAACCGTTCCCAATTTGTACCAGGTGCGCCAAAATGTTGCAGGACTTCGAGAATGGTTCCATGCCTTACCGACCCGAAAGCATTACGAATGTCAAGCCACGCCACATGAAGATTACGCTTATGTTTCTTGACATCCGCAATGACCGAATCAAGCATGAAAACATTTTCGAAGACGCCTTTGGAAGGAACGAAGCCCTTCTGTTCCGAGGAAATCACTTTCCAACTACATGCCCAAGACGGAAGACGACGTGCAATCACGACCGCATAGATTTTTATACAGCGTGCGGCAGATTGCGATGGGTTTCCAGTTCCCGATGTCATTCATATTGCCCTTCAGGTCCTTGGGAATAAGGATTATCCAAGAGGAACGTCATAAACTTAAACTACGCCGGAAACTCCTGCAGATTTCAAAGAGCTTGGTGAGAATTTCACCCCGTTTGTCAATGCGCTTCCAAACTCCATAGGTGAGCCATCTGGCCCCGGGGAAGTGCTAGTTTTTAAATCCCGCAAGACCGAAAAAACTTTCGTCGCACTGACAGTCACGTCCTCCTCTACCACCACGTTACCGTGGTGGTGAGCGCTTTGGGACATCCACAAAGGCATCGTCCAGTCACCATCTCCGTGCGGAGCCGAATCAGTGCGATATTTCTCTTCTAGTATCGATGATGAATGAAGTAGAGCACCGCAGACCACTAGTGAATCCTCGGTGATCGATCTAACCGTGCTTCTTCGGATTTCTTCAGAAAGCCGCCCTCAACTGAGGACCGAACCCCAGCCGATAACCACGTTCGTCGTTCACTCTGGAAAACAGAGGCACGGGTAGACCAAAGTTCAAACTGTCCCTCAAGATGGCGAACGCCTCGTCTGGCGAGGACATCGAGACACATTCATTCACTAAGTGAAAAAGTTTTTGACGCAGCTCCTCCAGGTTTAGAACACTCAAAGGAACCGCACCCTCCTGGGGAGATGAACTCTGGCGATCATCCGGCGCAGAAATTAAGCTCTGATGTATCATGGTTAGCGTGGGGGTAGGAGTGGCTGCATTAATAATTTTTGCAACCACAGGAGGATCCGGAATATGGGTAACTACGGGCTCAGGCTCAACCACGAGAATAGGCGAGGTCGAATCCGAAACCGCAAATACAACACTATCAGATCAACAGGACCGGAATTTTTGGGCTTACTCACGATCTCAATTACTAGTTCAGGGCTTTGGGGCGACGGGGTAACTACAGTGAATAAGTGTGGATCAGGTTTGGGTTGGGGTGAAGCTTCGTCCCATGCCGTACGCAGCCACGACAACAACGACTACATTTCGGAGTCCCTATTGACAAAACGGCACACGGCCTGGAGGCGCCTTTAGGCGGAAATTCCTTTATTAGAGGTCGAATTTGACCGATGGGGGATTCTTTACGGCCATAGGAAGGGGAAGAGGTTTTACTTTACGGGGAGGAGGTTCTGGTGTCGCCAGCTTCAATTATATGGTGACAATCACCCTTGCTACATGGAAAAGGCAATTCAATATTATTATCAGTTATCTGCTAATAACTGCGCAGCACTTACGTCTCACAAGCATGTCCGTTGCATGCATGCCTATGTGTTATACGAATAGCTTATTTTCTAAAGTTCCAAAAAGATCCGCGGCACACCTAAAAATCTCCATTGGCAAACTAGTGATCAGCGGCACACAGTATTGGAAACGATGCACTAGATACTGACAGTAGCTTACGATAGATGTATCCAGACATATGTTTCTGCTTAAAGGCATGCATTCGGTCGTCGAAGTCCAAACACGATAAGCTACACGTTTTCAGCGTTGTCGAGTTTTTTTTTTAAACAACTGTTAAAAATAGTGTTGCATGTTTATATAAAATCTAGACCTCAGTTGAATGGGCCTTATTAACATAGGAAGAAACGATATACGCTAGTGAAAGGGACGCATTAGTCAGGCTTTGAAAACAAATAGGAAACTGACAAAATGAAAGCCATATTTTTTGGAAATGCATTTTAAACTAACAGATGAGTAGTAGGCGAATGCGCAAAAAAAAATCTGTGCATTTGACCCTTGGCGATAACTTATGTTTAAGCCTCTTGCTGACCTTCAGTTTACGAGGGTTATTCTTAAAGATAGCAGAATATGAAAATCTTTACATAGAGCCGGAAGTGAGCAATTCGCTTTCGAGAATTTGTGATATAAAAAAGATCCCTTGTTATACGCACGATTTGTAAGGTTTACATTTTTTGCGTAAAAAATAGTATTCACTTATTTATAAAATGAATAAAAGTAAAATATTCTAGTGACACTTCCATCTTAAACAACTCACCTATTGGAAGCAAACAGTTTGTTGTTGCAGAGATAAAAAAAAATTGCTCAAAAACTACATGAACCACAGTAACTTGAGAAAACAATTCATGAGTGCAGAAAGTTTTATTATAACACACAAAACACTACCGATGATTAATAAAACAAAAATACTTTTTTTTGTTTATAAGGAATTGGTAAATATTCAAATAAAAAAAGTAAAAACAAAACATATGATAAAAATAAGCAATTTCATAGGTAATAATCTGTCTGCTGGCATGACTGAATTTTCACAACAAACACGCTTTATGAAATATCCGGTTGTACACAGGTACATCCAACGCTAATTGACTGTTTTGCAAGTCGATAAGAAGATTTTCCTCCTGTTTTCTGCAAAAATATTCTTGATTGTGCAGTAACCAGATGAGAGATAAAATCCGATGTTTCAGTTCCTAACGTCGGCTTGATGCAACCATCGCAGAGGCAGTATTTTTGGGCAATAAATTTAGGAAAACTGTAAATAAAATAGTAATAAAGTAATTAATTAAATTATTAAAAATAGAAAATTTATACTCATGCACCGTATGTAGGCTACTCATCAATAAAATTCTATGTTCATGTTTGTATTGAGCAGTTTATGCCCATCAAACCAAAATTTGAAGTATGCGTGACCAAGTTCTAATATACACGTATGTTATACAATATAAAACCATTTAAAACAGTCGACTGACGACAGTGTTCTTACCGTGTTGGATTGTAATCCAATTTTTCAGCATACGGTGACAGACTCCTCATGCCACTCATCATGTCATTTTGTTTCAAATAAGCTTGGTTCATAACTGGACATGGAACTTTTGGGATTGATCTTTTTGGTCGAAAAATTGTCTCTTTTTTCGAATCATGATATTCTTGTCTAGCTTTCTCCAACTCATCTTTTGATGCTGATTTGATATATTCCCGAGTTGCCCGCATAATGTTTGTTGACATTAGTAAATTGCATTCCTTACTGGTGCAAGAGAAACAAATGAATAGATTATAGATAATGAAGAGCATATAAAATTAGTTAAATACTCAATAATACACATCAACGATGTATCATTCAAGGTTGTTTTTTGAAATAATCTTATAAAAATAATATGTTCTGTTTAGTTAAGGTTTTGAACTGTGAAAAGTATATATGTTTGAATATATATATTTATATATATATGGTGTGTTCAGTCGTATTTTAATTTTGGCTTATATTGAGAAACACGAATCTCTTTGGAGTATATCGCAATGTTATAACACTCTTCCAAAATAAATAGGCTTAGTAGTCACAAATAAATCAGGTTGCATTGCAAGTTAAAGCCATCTAGAAGACTAACTCGTGATAATCAGTCCAATTAGGTTTTACATAATGGTGTGAAAGAGGTCTGATATCGGTTCGGCTATACATTTCTCTTACAACGAAATTACTCACAGTAATATATCTGTATGCTTCCTGGTTTCTCCGTACAACCCAACGCAATCAAATTCGTCCTCGTGTCGTTCTTCATCAATTTCCATTGCTGTGCTTAGTTCAAAAACGCACAATAATGTGATGAGAACGATATTACGGGAAAGTTTAGACTTTGCCATAATACTCTTTGGTAAGATTGAAAAGTCTTGAATTTTATTTGAAATTTGCACCATCTGCTTACCGTTGAGACTTTTTCAGTTTACTTAGTCTTTATATTCAAACTGTATTCCGCATTCATTTGTTTTATCTTATATACGCGTCTCAGAAACGTGTTGTGTAGCGAGTTTCGGAATGGACTGGATAAAAATATAACGTAATAGTCAAATCAGTCAGATACATAACGATCAAAATTAGTTTCTTATTTTATGTAAAGCAATCAACTTAATTAACTCACGATTTTTTTACATAATGAAGTCCAGATGGTTATTACGTCAATTAAAACTAACTATGACTCGACTGCGTTGTTAGACCAAAAAGATTAAATATGTTTTCGCCGTGTGCGGAGTAATTAACTACAACTTATTTAAATATGCAAGACATAGCTTATCACATCTCGATAAAAGCGCAATTTCCTGGTTGCCCTAAGTAGACGCAATATATAGATAGATGTTACAATAGACTATGTATGTGCGTTGTTATTAAGTGTAAAAATATATGACTGGTCATATATTTCGGGTTTGATTGGTCATAATTCAATATCATGACCAAGGCCGTCGGAACGCATGTCCTATCACTAAATTCTATCTTGCAACCACTAAAAACGATTTTAGGACTTGGTTACAAATTCGAAACAGCTGAATTTAGTCTCGGTAACAATGCCTTTTTCTTTGTCCATTCAACTATTCAATAGTCGCAAATATAAGATTGGATGGTTTGGTAATTGACGATATCTCAATTATCTATGTTTACCTAAAGCTCTGACGTTAATCATTTTTTCACGCTTTCTGACTTAGGATTCCATTTCCCATTCATTGGTAAACATATATTTTATCTCGGTTATAGCAGAACTTCAAACCTGCTTTGAAGCTAAATATTAAACTAAATAAATGGGAAATTACGGAAGGCCTCACGGTCACTGGCAATAATGCGGGAGCTTTATCTATGCTTATAGGCCCAATCAATAGACAAGACAACATGGCATTAGTCTCTAGCGGAGATTGTAAAATTTATGAAAAGACGTAGAACATCCATCAATCGTTACATAACATTATGAATCTATATATAATTCGGTAATTTTTATAATAACGAACCAGGTCTATATTTTTTTCATGTTATACAGATGAGAAAATAGGTAAGTAAGATAATGTCGGTTGCTATAATCTAGATTTCTAGAGAACATTTTAGTCACAAAACGAAGTAAAACATCCTCTAGCCAGTGCCAAAAATAAATTGGTTGTGAAGTCACGCCGGAAGGAGATAATGACGAAAAACATGTTGTTGCAAAACGTATGCTAATTATTTCATTCACAAATTCACAACGTTTTCTATAGATGGAGTCTGTGGTAACATGAGTTGAACCATGCTTACTAAAAAAAGCGATGCATCTAGAAATCAACCGGACAAAACCAAGCTAATAATTGAAAACTCTAAAAAGTGCGCGTTAGTAATACTGAATAAATATTTCTCTATTTTATTAAATAAATTTTATTAGTTTGTGACGCATTTTTCATTATTATGACCTAATATGTGGACTCGTGAAATGAAGCTATCACTATTCCTTGATTCACCGTTCGGTTTAGTTGAGTCTAACAATAAAATATAAACGAATCGAAAAATCATGGAATATTTGAAATAGGCAATGGAAAAATGACGAAATTTCTTGACGATGATGATAAAAATGACAACGTTTACATTTGTATTCCTTATTCAATCCTGTTCTGGAATGGTGTCTTTAAAATAGCACACAGTTCAAAGATTACCAATTATGGGATAAGCACAAGTACAACCAATATAAATTGACAATTTCTTTTTCGTCGTGAAAGTATTTAAAAATTTATCCTTTTTATAAAAGAATTCCATACGGGTCTCCAACGGCACAGATTGTAAGGAAAGGTTTTCTTTTCTCGTCACGGGGTCGATGCACCCATTACACAAACAATGACGCTGTATAAAGAATTGGGGATATCTGTTGAAAAAGAAAATAACTCAAGTTGAGTGATCATACAGACCCAATAGGTTCAATGTCTTGAATATTACTAATGATTGAATATAATATATTCCACTTGCTTATTTGTTTGCGCGACTGCGAAAGTTACATACATATAAGTATCAGAATGGAATTTTTATCTGGATTATCCCAGCTTGATTTTGTGCAATATCTACATGATAAAATTGGCATTCCTTCAATATATGACGGATTCATCTTTTTTTTATTGGAGAGAGGGGACGCGTATACACACAAGCATATCGTCACGCTAATAAAAAAATGATTAATTCATTTTTATCAGTTTTCAGTGACAAAAGAAAAAAAAACACCCTGAGAATATTGTTATGCCATTGCGGGAAAATAATTTCTTATGAATAAATTTTTTGAGTCGTAGCAGGATTCAAACTAAATTATTCGAAACTAATATTACCTGTTGGGGTCCCAATTCGGTTTTTCGGCATAAGGCGACAAGCTTCTTCGCCCATCCATTAAATTATTTTCTCTGAGATATTGAGGAGTCATCGTAGGACATTTAGTGATTTCTCTTTTTGGTCTATTTGACGGAGGGGAAAAATATTCTTGCTTTGCTCTCTCAAGAGTCATATCGTCAGCAAACATCAAGTATTCTTTTGATTTTTTCATAACTTCAGTTTTCATTAATATTTCGCATTCCTTTCTATAAATAAAATAAAGCATAATGGTGTATCTGAAGTTAATTTTGGCTCGATTGCATAAATCTAGATTTTGTACAAAAATAAACTTACAGTAAAATTGTTGTTTCTTCTGCTGTTTTGCCGCGAAGTCCAATACATTCATATTCATTAAGTATTGTATTGCGATCATGTATAATAAATCTACTATCTTTTGTGGAATTCGACAATGAAAAATGGGGAAACAAAATCACAATTAAAACACGAAGAAAAACAAAGCTGAAAGTGTTCGCGACCATGGCGTATTTTCTGCAGTGTAAGCACGATTACAAAACTTACATTTTAAATATAACTCCATCTTTTATAGTAAAATTGCTGTACAGGAGTAATGGGAAATGGATTTTTTGGCGATTCAGAGGTCAAGGTTTCCGGGCATTTCCCCAACTATATATAGAAATATACAGAATGAGGAAGCACGCCTGAGTAACTTACTAAACGTGACATGGTAGCATTTCGAAACCTCTTGTCGAACGACAGCAAGTGGATTACATGAGTGCATTTTAAGCAAACCGTTCGAATAAGTATCCATGTTATTATTGGCCAGTGTTAAGTTGGGAAATAAATGCAATGAATACACGAGTCTTTATTTTCATATATTCAATGAAATAGATATAAATGTAGAGATTGCAGACAAATGACGTTCTCCCTTATTCCGAAGAATAAGATCATCTCACAAAACATCAATATAATTTCACACATTTCTAGACGATGTTTTTTATTTATGCAGTCGCGGAAATCACAGTACAGGAGTTGCGGGAATACTTCTACGGTCTATATTAGCTAATAAGGCTTGAAAGAAACATGAATAAATTTTTCAAGCGGAAAGTACTAGAATACCATCGTCATCGAGTTGAATCACGATCCTGTACAGTTATATGAGTGCAATCGGTCTTTAACTAATTGATATTGGAGGCTTGAATACTCATGCTATTAATGGGTCAGCCAAATTCCAGACAGATTGGAATGATTCATAATTAGTTTTTATGTGTGACGCCAACAAAACCGTGGGGAAATTTCAGACCACAACTGAATGTATATTACTAAATGGTATTTTTGATGCTTCTATTTTTGCCACATTTGCGTTCCCTGGAAATCTAATAAAATTATATAAAAGATGCAATGTTCGACTGATTCTTGGAAACATAGACTAATTATACAACGGAACATTTAGGATAAAATTTGCAACATGCCAATGACTAATATCGGTAAAATGAGTTTTCTTTTTGTAATGGCGTTTCAGCAAGTAAGCAGCGTATTACCAAAAGTAATGAAGGCTGAAATAACTCGGGAAAAGTTGAAATCAGAATATGATTGCATAGGGCTCATTGGAAAATCCGAAAAGGATACTAAAATGCTGTTGTAAGTACGAGTTTTTTAGAAAATAGTCAACATATTCAGATATACAATATTCAAGATATCATACAGATGTGTTACGATAATCAGTCCACTATATTAATAATAAAATAAAAATTAGTAAATAATAAATTAAAGTCAAAAATCAAATGGAATATGTAATAAAATGTCATTAATAATAAGATGACGTATCATTGTTTCGTTTAATTTTTCTACATTCGCAGACGTGATTGTGAGTTCGCCATGAAATCGAGTGTGATGACTGAAACGAAAAAGTTTATAGAAAACGCCGTTGTGGAAGAACTAACAGAGATTATACATAACTATTTTGAGAAAGATCGTGCAATTTTTGCCAGACGTAAAAGATTCACAGATATGGATTGTCCGACGCTGAATAAACAAGATTTATCATCAAACGCAAAAGAAATGCGAAAGAGAAGTCTTGCTCCTTTTGTGTATAAACCAGATTTTAATCCTAACAGGTTGGTTTAGTTTTCCTGACCCTTCATTGTATTAAAATATTCTGTTACTCACAAACTACAATGCGTTTATAGTGATAGGATATCGGATATTATCTAATCAGACCTAAAATACCGTTCATAAAAACAATGCATAACTTGAGGATCATCTATTCTAAATAACAATGAGTAAGAAATGAGGCGAAACGACCTCTCAATACTAATTTCTTTTCTCGTAGTTTGATTATTTATATATCATATTTTGATCGGATTGAAATCTAGTGAAATTGAAGTCGTTGAAAATTATTTTAATTATTGAATGAATATATTATTATCTCAGTCAGTACCATAATATGATATATGAATTTGTGATACCTTGTAAATTTGAGCAAAAAAAATAAACCATGCAGTATGCGACTCCGTATAGGTACTCATAAAAGACACACACTAAAATCATAACCCGTGGGAACACTTAGAAAAACAAATTGACGTGAACACCCCTCTTGTTGAAAATCTCTGTATGTGTCTCTTAAATACGAAAAAACGTTTTTGTTCAGATTTCCCAAACTTGTTTTGCATGGTGTCTGCCTTTGCAGCGGATGCATCGATTTAACAACAGGCCGCGAAACACTCAGTCTATCATCTCTAGCAATAACTGGTAATGTCACAGTTTTCTACAAAGAAGCCGGTGCGATGGGTTATACAAAGCGAGAGGAGCCGATACCAATTGGATGTACTTGTGTGTATCCACTCCAGAGTACATAATAAAATTCAAACCACAATATTAAATATTACGAAAGATTTTAATTATTTGCTTTTAAAGCGTTTCTAGCAATGGAATTGCAACAACGTACCGTATTTAGCTATCAGTGTTTAATTCTATTTTTATACTCGTTATCGTACTAATTATTTTTCTAACTAAAATTAATATTACTTTTGATTACTCACGTCTCGTTTTATTGTGACTCTATATAGGATAGGGGAATGTCAAGTAATTGCTCTTTGTATCAGTATTGGGGAGACTCGATTGGATTCGTACTCGAGTTACCTTTTCAAAGACTCGAATCATTTAAACAAGGCATTGACACCGAATGGGTCGCAAAATACAAAAACTAATGTTCACGGGCAATTTGACGCAACCAGCCTTTAATGAGATATGTTGCATCTTTTGCCGGTGATAAGCTCCTCATTCCAAATTTTTGGAAGAGTGAAAAAGTGAAAAATAACTTTACGTCCCTATTTATTCCTTTTAAATCATGAATTTACAATAACATAATATGCTTGTTTTTTCCACGGGGATGACAAAAATCAAGGAATTGTAAGTTTGTCGTGGAAACAAGTATTATATAATAATCTTCGGCGACGAGATGCTAGGATAATTAAGGACACAACCCAAATTTTTTGATTGAAAAGCCGCATAGTAAAATACTGAATTTAAAATGAGGGGAAACACCATAAGTTTGGTTTAGGAGGCCCGCGATAGATTGAAAATGATTTTTTAAACATTGTAAATCGCAAAATTTGGTGTGACTACGACATCATTTTGTTTAGTTGCATTTGAGAGAATTTTACCGTTTATCGGGAAAACGAATCAAAACAAGATATAATCAGACACATTGCCACCCATTTTTGAAATAATGATGCTTTTATATTTTTAGTCGACGCAACAGCAGGTTACATTGAACACAATCAAATTAATGAAGCAAGACATTTTAAATATACCCGTATCGTTCTTGATTTGATTACTTTGGGCATTTGCGAATTTTACATTTCGGGATTTTTTTTAACGGCGATATATTAAAAAGGTACACTTGTATGTATGTGAACCAAGATGGCGGACACCGGAACGTAGTAATAGTACTAAAATAAGGAAAATTTTAATGAAAGTATGTCGAACTCTCGAATATGCGCAGGACAATATGAATATAGTCAGCTAAAGGGTTTTATACTCCAATGACACGCCGAATTATATATCGCTGAAAATTAATCATATTTCGTTTCATTGTATGAGTGTAGTGAATATTAAAAAAGTTCGTTCCTTCCGAAGGCGTCTTCGAGCATGTTTTCATGCTTGATTCGGTAATTGCGGATGCCAAGAAACATAAGCGTAATCTTTAGATGGCGTGGCTTGACATTCGTGATGCTTTTGGGTCGTAAGGCATGGTGCCAAGTCCTGCGACATTTTGGTGCACCGGGGTACATGTTGGAAACAATTGCTGACGTTTACAGGAATAACGTGTTCACCATTCGAACCGTGGATGGTGACACGTCCCCTATTCTATCTGGTAGAAGAGTCCGTCAAGGATGCCCTCTCTCAGCAATCATTTTCAATATGGTGATGGAAGTTTTTCTCCGGGGCGTCAAGGGTTTGCCGGACGTCGGTTACCAGTTACGATGTGCGCCGGATGTGACCGTCAACGACCAGGGCTACGCAGACGATTCTGCTCTGTGTGCGTCGTCGCAGCAACAGTTGGAGGCGCAACTCTCAATATATATGTGAAGAGTTTACGCGATGGTCCGGAATGCAATTCAAACCATCTAAATGTCGTGTCCTTGTATTGGTTCGTTCGGGAGGCACGATAGTCGCGGACAGTGAGCCTTTCCATCTCAATGGCGGGGAGATTGCTGTTCTCGGCCGGGATGACTTCTCGAGGTATCTTGGCAAGAATATGGGATATCGGATCGTCGGACGGAGTGAGTGTTTAAACCAAATTTTAATTTCATTCGGAGGCTCTTTGCTTCTGAGCTCACTCACGTTTCAAAAACTGTTGGCGCTGAAGAGGTTTGTTCTACCTAAGCTCTTCTTCCAATTAAGGATTCGGTATTTTCGTCGGCGCGACCTCGAGCGGCTGGATGCGAGCATCCGTTGTCTGAGGAGAACCGTTTTTCGGTTACCAGTCCGGACCTGTCAGCCGTTTTTTCATTCCAAGACTGCGGCGGGGGTCTGGGCATCTGAATTTTGCCCGCGAAGCGGACATATTTCGGGTTACCCATGCGTTCAAAATCTTTAATTCTCCCGACTCCATGGTCCGTTCGGTTGCTCGTGCTCGGCTGGGCGAGATGTTACCGAGTTCAGGAGGCGACGCAGGCCCTGGTAATCGACTTTCTCAATTGTGATAACTCCTTTGAGTCAGATGGACGACGCATTGGTTCGTGTGGGGATCTGTGGGGCCAGCTACGCCCCATGGGTCGCCGTATCAGTCTTAGCTAGGCTGTCTCGTCGGAGGGGAACTTCACGGTCACCACTAACAATCTCCTGATCGAGGGCGGCAAGAAGATAACTCGGGTGTTGCACCACGTGTCCAACACCCGTTGGTTGAGGCGATGGGGCGAGCTTCGGGACCGGGGGAAGACACTTTCCTGTCATTCCCGGTTCGGTTGCTTAAACCACTTTCTCTCCACGTCTGCCCCTCTCGCTCAGTATCAGATTTTGTGGGTTTCGAAAGCTCGATTAAATCGTCTGCCGCTGCGATCGGTTCGTAGACAGTTTACGGCATATGCGGAACCACAGGTGACTTGTAGTAAGTGTGGTTACGCAAACGCGACTCTTCCTCATTTGCTGAATCGCCGTCGTCCAGCCATGAATATCATCAAGGAGCGGCACAATTCGGTGCAGGAAGAGATCTTGACTCACTTACCCACAGCCAGGTTTTCTAGGTGCGATGTCGACGTAGTTTGTCGGGAGCACACCGCTAGAACAGCTGAGATGCTGCGGCCCGCGGCCCGATTTGATACTCGAGGAAATCGGGACGAATCGGGTTGTAGTACTTGATGTGGTGTGCCCATTCGACATAGGCGAAGCCGCTATACATGACGCGGCCCGTCGGAAGCACTCAAGGTATGAGGAGTTATGTCGCTCCATTGCTCTTGCTCTGGAAAAGTGGTGAAGTTCCACGCATTTGTGGTTGGTTCTCTCGGCATTTACGCCGTTGGAAACCAGACTGCTTTTTGTGCTTTGGGTGCGACCGGAGCGGTCGCTACGGTGGTCTCCCGGAACTGCGTCAGGAACTTCGTCTGGGGTTCCCACCGCGTCTGGAGAGGGCTTTGTTTGGACTTCTTGACAGTGTCGGCTAATCTGACTTCACCCTCTTTTCCGACACTGCATTCTACTCATTTCTTTATGTTCTTCCTCTTTCTTAGTGTGTGTATGAGATGTGTTTTAAGCTTGAGTGATTGTTTTATAATTCGATTGGTCATGATCACCCGGTTGATTCCCACTAGTGGTTTCCCGAGATAGTTTGAGCCCTTGGCTCACTAAAATAACTCCCCTGATCCAGTGGCTCTAAAGCTGTCTGGTTGAAATTATTCCCATCCCCCACTACTGGCCTCCACAAATTCACGCTCGGCAATGGACACGGACCACAATATATGCTATATATATATATCAGTTTTATACCGCTCGCCTCCATTAACCCAGTTTTAATTTACAGATTTATCATATGTCACCTTTTTATAATTTTGATCAATTGTCTTTTATTTACTTTCTTATTTATTTATTCTTATTTATTTTCTGACCACTTCACACCTTCTCATCACTTAATTTAGTTGATAGTAAAAGGCGAGTGGTACCTATTAGGCAGTAGTTTTCATCTTTAAAACCCATTGCGAGCTGGCCAGCCCTTCGCGGCAAGATTATTTAACGTTATTTTTAGTTAGTTGTTTTTTGTGTGGTTTTGCTCGGCGAGTTGGCCGCGGCTGGCGTTGATTCATGTTGTTACATCATGATGTTACACTTCAATTATATATCCGCCAGATAGTGAGCCACTCGACGAGCATCCAACATTTATTTCCTATTTCTTTGGAGGGCTGGCCCGGTTAGATAAGCTGCATTATTTACTTTTATATTGGCGTGTTTTTTTTCATTAGGCCTACATGTTCAATTTATTTCTTATTTAGATTAAATCTCATTTGTATATATTTTTATAAATACTGTTTTAGCCCTCCTGAGTGGGGGAGGCCAGGGTTACTGGCGAAGTACCGAAATAAAAGTACTCAAAGTCAAAGAAATAATAAAAACACGAATTCGTGTATTCGAGGCCAGCAGATCGAGTACGATTGCTGCAGGAGGTACATTTATAAACCTGTACTTAAATCTCTTTCCTAACGTTTTTTGAACGGATCGTTTTAAGTTTTGTTTCACCAGTACCAAGCTACTTCCAATTAACGTAATGATAGAGATTAGATCTATATTGAAGATGACAAATTTGTTCCATAATGGCTTTCATTAGTGATGTAGTAGTCTAGAAATAGTATAATTACGTTGTTTCCATATAAGAACTAGGGTCACCACTTTTAGGGCTACTTTTAGGGTACAAATTAAGCTGCGGGCTACCAGTTCAATGTAAGCTTCAATTATTGATATAATTACTGGTATTTAGTGAAGTAATAACTTTTTAGGATTCTTCAGGAAATCAAACGATTATCACAATGTTGCAAATAAATTTCTAACACTTGTATTTCTGATTAAATTGTCTGCACAGTCTAAGATAAAATCTAACAGTTGTACTATCAAATGTTGCATAGTATTATACTCCGACGTGTAACTTGACACTGTAACTCTGAGCGAGTCTTGCAGATTTTCATCAGTGAGGCGTGTTCCATGTTTGTTCCTGGTGAAGTGAGTCGCGGCGCTATGGCCCATCGTGAGCGTTGGTTCGCAGATTAGAATCTCATACGGGGATAGTTATGTGCGAAAGGATTGCTGGACTCCTCGCCGCCGTAGGGTGGTTCACGTAACCGCTGGTCGGTTAAGGCTTCCTTCGCCA